AAAATCATCTAGAGCACACATGCCTTCAAATCTGGGGCTTGTAATGACTACCTGGACTAAAATAGCAACTGCACAGTGTTTCACAAGGCACATTGTGATGTTTTAATATTACGAGGTGCTACATACAGGTGGAAGCTGCAACACTTACTTTTTGGAATGATAAGCGGCTGTGTTTTCCAAGAGAAGCTCCATGTGTGAGCCAAAAAGCACAAAAAATAGCTGGTGGAAGCTAGAGGAGTTTTACAGGGAGCACATCTCGTTGTTTTTGTGTCAGAGGGTTTAAGTCTTTTGCTGATTCCTCGGTTTTGCTACATTAGCAACAAAAAATAGTGCCTGTAGGCATATAATATGAAGGGATCATTATATTTAGTCCACCAGAGTAAAGTGAGCAATGAGCTAGTCAGGTTGTGGGATTCCCACAGTGAAGCTAAAGATCTGTAACTTGAAGTTCAGATGCCTTTAACTGATCAAGAAAATGAGTCAGAGCTGAATCTGCCGTCGCAGGCTGCAAATTTAAGATAAAATGACTCAGAATGTGTTGGTTTTCTCCCCGTGGTGATGCAAAGGGATGTTTTTCCAGGTAACTGCAAACAGAAAAACAAGGACAGCGACGCTGCCGGGGGATTTGTCTTGGGCATTTGAAGTGGCATTATTTATTAGATTCCCATGCTGTGGAAGTTTTCCTACGAGCGTAGCGGCCCTTTGACCTGAAATCTGTATTAAAGCATAGTATGCCTGAGTCAAAGGCAGCGGTGAACATACAAGGATTTCTTTTAGACTGCATTTCCAGTAGAATGCATTGTAGTTTAAGTGCTTCAATCATGTAAAACAAAAGACAAGCAACCTCCGCCCTTCAGTGAAAGTCACTTAGTAATTAATAGGTATTAAATCTGCAAACGGAAATGTTCCCAACAACATCCTGCTTTGTGCGTCTGCTTTAAATCTGCTCCTTCTACTGATTGGCAACCCTATTTCCTGACTTTTCTTGATGACTTTGAATACACATTCTCAGCAGGAGGTGCCTTCACTGCCTCCTATTCTGTACTCGTGCTGCTGTAAAAGCCCCTAATTCATCTCTTTCCATTACAGTCGCCTCGTTTTATTTCAAATAGGAAGAGATTATGCTTTGTCAGAGGTCGATGGCCTGTCACTGTTTTTTATTTAAATTTTCTCTCAGTTTTTTGTGGATCTTTCAGAGCAACATCTGCGTTTTATGAAGCTCCGAGCACAGGCAGGATGTGTGAGAGTTAATAGCACTTGGCTTCCATAACAATGTCATTTACAACCCAGTTGCTCTCTGATAGACCCCTAAAGGAAAGAGAAAAAATGGCTTTCACTGCATATGCAAGTGCGGCTAAGTAGAAACCATGCAACTTGTGTATATTTCTTTGTGCCTTAAGGCTTTTCATGCCCCAGAGGGTGCTTTGGGCTATAGAAATAAGCCAAAGTGTTTAGAGGAAATTGCATTCATTACCAGGATGCTTGTAAATTTTTAATCAGTGGAGAAAAAGATCTGCTTTATCAAACATGTCAAACAAGATTTTACAGGAATTTTCACATTCCTACATGTGTAAAATCAAATTACATACATGAGTGAGCACTGAAATGGTAACTATATGTTAGTGTAACGTTTAAACATATGACTTTATTGTTTCTGTATTGTTTGTGAATGCATTCAAAAACTCGTCGCTCAGAAAACCGTAACAAAAGACCTTCAGAAAGCAGAGGGAGTTGAAAATTGCTTAAAAAGGACTGTTTTTCTGTACTATATAGCCTTAAGCGATGTGTTTATTTTTCAGTCATCACCATTCATTATGTTTGTGGTACCTTGTAAAGACTTTATCCTGTGATTGCATTGTTACATACTGATTGCATATCTTATAAAAGAAAAAAAAATCCCCAGCTTAATAGCTTTTGTCTGCTTGATTGCTGCCGTTGCAGTTTGTCAGTTCAATCAGTGTGGATTTATAGGAACATACACACCGACTATACAAACAGGAAGAGAAAAATACTGTTTCCTCTTTTGTTACGTTTTGCCGCATAGAATTATTTCATATGCCTCCCACAGTATGTTAACTAAGGTTGATATTTTTTTCAAACATTTTAAAGTTATGAGTAGATGACAATGTTAGGAAAACCAGCATACATTTATGGTATAATGAGCATAATCTAATTTCTTTTATTTAAAAAACAAAAAAAAAAAACAAAAAAAAAGGAAAGTACTTAAACTTATTTTTTTTGTTTAAGTACTATTACAGACTACGCTTTAATAGAGTTATTATTGGAATAAAAATAATGATATTCCAAACTTTATTACTGCAGATTATATGCTGTAATAATTTATATAACATGCTGTAATTAAGTATGACAATCTCAGTCAACATCACGATGTTTTTGTAATAGGATTCTTTTCCTCTAACATGTAAGCAACAGAAAGTTTAAGGAGCCTTCTTTCAGCAAGCTGGTTGGTGGTGCATAGAAACAGGTAGGGGAGGGGCAACACTGCATTATCAAATACTAAGGAACAATGGAGGAAACTCTAGGCTCTTCTGCACTTCATCTGGAACTTCATTGAGCGTCCGAGAGCTCATAGGAAATGGCGAGACAGCAAAAAATGACATATTTGAGTCTGGGAATGCTTAGCAGCAAGTTGGGAGGGGCAGCAATGCATGACTGCATGAGCTGTAAAAATTAGGAAAACTCTGGTCAGTCTGGCACTTTCTTGGTACATTTAGAAATTTTTAGATTCGTTGAAATCAGTCATTAGCTCATGGACTACATGTTTATGCGATGTTTTTTCCAGAGCCATTAAATGTTCATAATTGCTTCCCAGTGTCCAAATTTAGGCTGAGATCATCAAAGAAATGTCGTGTCGTTGTATCAGCCACTCGTGACCTGCATTCTTGGTGCCAGTGCTCATATTTTCTGCCCGTAATTCAACTCCCACATATTTGGGCTCAGATAGCCTTTGATCCCATTTACTCACTTCATTCAGGCATTTAGTTTTCGTGTTATCTGTCAGCGCCATCAGATTATACTTTATGAGAGACAGCGCTGACACATCTGCCCCTGAAAAGCCTGTCTCCGATCTTTAAATATCGATCCCCGGGGCCTTAGCAGAGGTGCCTCTCGCAAGTGTGGAAAAGAAGGGGGGGGGGGGAAAAACCAGATCATTAGTGATTTTAATTAGGTGATCTTTCAAGCTGGGATTGCCAGATGTAAGCATATGCATTTGGGTCGATCCCAATCCCTCTCTCACAATCCCTTTTTTCTTTTCTTTTTTTTTTTGTCATTTTGTGCTTCTGGAACGGTGGATAGCTGCTGCTTGGAGTGAAACAAGCAGTAGGGAGCACAGAAATATCTCACGTGTACTCGCTGCAAGTTCATTTTTAGACTTTGAGCTGGAGGAAAAACATGCTACAGCTGCAATGAGAGATTTTAAAAATGAACTGTAATACTTTAAGTCAAACAATTTTGAAGCACTTTTTGATGCTCTGCTTACCTCATGTCAAATATGTTTTTATTTAGATCCTATCAAACAAATAGTTCACTGGTTTTGAGGAAAAACAGCATTTACATTTGAATGAGTCATCATAGCATCTTTTTGTCATCGCCAATGATGCCAAAATGTTCTTGAAAGTTCCCCCACCGACAACAAAGTGCAGCACAGCCATACAGAGTCAGACTAATCTGCTTTTTTTCCCCCCTGCTCCAGCGTTAAACATCATTACATATTTATAACTCGGCGCCAGATGACAGAGACAGAGAGGGAGGAAGAGATATGAACCAGGCAGCAGCGCCGCAACTCGTCTGGTGTCTTTCTCTGGGATATCTGATTGCACTGTTTAAACCTGCCTTTTATCCATCGTTTGGTAGTGAAAACCCAATTACGCAACAGCTACAAATGGACTTTTGATTTAACAGTACATGATTTAATTGGTACATTAGACGTTCCTCAAACATCTAGCTTATGATTGGGAGGAGTGAGAGAGAGAGACTGCATCTTAACGTTGATGTACATGGTAGGAATTTAACAGATTAGAAACACTGTGGGTATCCATCTTATCGTTCTTCCGTTAAAATATGTTAAAAATAAAAAACAAAACAAAAAGTCTTCCAAGCTAAAGTTGAACACAAGTAGTATACAGGCAACATTCATACTGTTGTGTAGTTATGAGCAGAAAGGATGTGTGTCTGTTTTCATCAGCTTTTACAATGTGGTTTTTAAAATGAAAAAAATTATAGTGCCTTATTTTATTGTGAAAGTCTACAGGAAGTTGTTAATTTGCTTCACTTAAAGTAAAATCTAGTGGAAATGGCCGAAAGTCTTGTAATAATGTTTCCTGCTGCATGAAGCCAAATCATCTTCAAAAAATCTTCCGATCTTGTTCATTCTTTTTTTTTTTTTTACTTGTTTTACACAAACAAACATATCACAATACAAAACTGGAAGTTTAGACATCAATATCTGTTGATATTGATAATTATTGATTAAGTTTTTGCTTCAAATACCTGAAATAAAGCCAAACTGGTGATGTGAACTTTTCTGTTTCATACACAGTTTCCTGTCAAGCTCTTATACTCATTTCCTCCTTCCATTTCACTCTTGTTTTTATTTTTGAGCAGTTATGAGGCACGGTGGCAAAATATGAAACTGCTGCTGCGCGTTACTCAACAGGCTGTTGCTAAGTAACCAAAGAGTGAGTTGCTGGGTAACTGAGTGAGTTGCTGGGTAACTGAGTGAGTTGATGCCACCTTAACTGGACGTGAGAGATTGAGCGGCCAAAGTTTTTCCTCTACCTGTATTTCCCAGAATGCTCTTTGGTTATTGATCGGAGTTCAATGCAATTATTGAATATACATGTATTATCTACTGATATTGATCAAGTATATATTGGAATGCATGTTGTAACTGATTTATTTCCCAGCCCTAATGATCACAAAAAAAATTTGTGGTTTAAATTTAGATTAATCTAGGAAACTTTTTTTTTTGTCTGCAGATCCTGGAGAGGGATTCCACTGCCAGGATGAGTGTCGCATATTGGGCCACTCTGACCGCTGCTGGATGCCTCGGGTTTCGGTCCCAGCACGCGCCAAGTCACCCGAGCACGCTCGCAACATCATCGCTTTGTCCATCGAGGCCACCACGGTGGACGTGCCGCACTATGAGGACGGCACAATCAAGAGGACTTTTGCCACCTTTGGCAAGGATGGGCCAGAGGATGTTGAACGGGGAGAGGTGAAGGGAAAGCGGACTCAGGAGTCTCAGGTGTGCAGCCCCAAGGCCAACGGAGGGGCTGTTCGCGAAGCTGGCAATGGGCGTGAGGCCGCCAGTCCCATCACCTCCCCTGTGCACCTGAAGAGCCCGATGTCCAAGGCGTCATCTTCCTACAATACACTGAAATGTCGTGACGCAGAGCGGATCGCAAACCACAGCCTGTTGCGGCAGCCTGAGGGGAAGGACAGTGAGCCAGCCGTCAGGGAGATCAACACGCTCCTGCATGACGGCCGAGACAAGGAGTCCCCCAGCAGCAAGCGCCTGAAGGACATTGTACTTTAGCAAGCATCTTGGCGACACTCCAACATGCACACACATATACAGTGTAAACTCACATATATATATTTACCCCGCGGTCGCTGTGTGTACACAGCCCTGCTGTGGAAGTGTAGAGACACACCCATTTGCAGAATCCAAAACCAGAACCAGCTTGGGCTGCTGCTGATGAACTGTAGTCTGCTGCAGCTAGTTGTGTGCTCAAGCCCAGGTAGTGGATGTGGCTTTGTCGTAGTCGCAGTACTTTTTCCTTGTTTGCTTTTGTTCGGTTTTTCTTTCAGTCTGCATTAAGTAAACAGGCAGGTTACTGTTGACTGCATGGACGCGGCCAGTGGAGCTCCTCCAGCCCTCGAGCCAAAGCAGGACACTACATGTTCGGACGCATGAGGTGCCAATTCCTACGTACAGTTATGCCTTTTGAACTACTTTTGTATGACTAAAATGACATTTGCCTTTTTTGGTTTTGCAGTGTGTTTTAGCTGCTAAAATCGCTCCTTGTTCCTTTGTATAGTGAGCTCTGACACTGTAATAAACAACCACAGACACACGCGCAGGATTCCCCCGAACACATGTTGCTCATTGGCTCCTTCGTGGTGCATTCAGGAGCAGGATCAAGAGTCCTCTCAGTCTCGTTTGTCTTCTGCCTGGCTGATAAGAGAAAACTCCAGTTTTTTCCCCTGAGGACAACCTGGTATCATCAGACTGTGAGGTCTTTAAAGTATTTATATTTTATCACGGATGGAAATAAATGAACTCCTGCTATCTGCCAAGCCTCTGAACGCTGAAAGTGGGACATACCGATCTTTGTGTTCAGAACAAGTTGTATGAACAAATTAAAGACTTTAATGCTTTTGAAATCTCCTGTGCCCAACCTTGATTGTAGCCAGTGGAGCACAAATTAGAGCTTTGTGCTTTTGGTCTTGTACTTTTTTTGACTTTTGACTATGGGGCTAGGATAGAAGGGATCGTCACTCATGTCTTGCTATGTGAAACTCTGTATAGGGTTTACTATTATCATTTTTAATAACCTGTTGTTATGTGACAATCCCTTTAATGTTTTGTTTCAAAAGGAAAAAAAAAATCGAATAAACATTGGTGTTCAACTGAAGCTACGGTAGCGTTTGTTACACAAACACGAAAATAACATAAAAAACATATATGCCAAAATATATTTTATAAATAATTTAAAATGTATAATGAGAATATTTAATGCTGTGTAGTTATTTTATGAGTAAGTTATACTTGAAATTAACTTGCTTTTTGTTCATTTGTCTTTTGCTTTTGTATTGATCTTGATTTTTTTTTTTCTTTTTTATGAAATTGGATTTTTGTTTTGTTTTGCTTAACGTGTGATCCCTGGCAACCGTTGACTTGCAGTCTACCTTGTTGTAAAGAGTTTCTTATTGGTCAGTTCTTGTGCCATCCAGTTTCTGTGTGGGCTACTAGAAAATGTGGAAAAAAAACAAAAAAAAGAAGAAAAAAAGCAATCTCAGCACCAACATTAATGTGTCTGTTCGACGAGCTTAGAGTGAGATAGCAAAAGAAACCAAAAAAAAAAAAAAAGATGTAAACCCAACTGTGCTGACTGCAGGATGTTGCTTATCCTTAGCATCTCAGGAGGCGGAAGCTGTTGCAGTTTCCCACCTTTAGCTCCAGCTTGTAACGCTGGACTTGAGTTCAAATGAGCTCCTGACATGCAGACTTGCTTTACTCAGCACTGCTGTCACCATGTGCCATCTGTGTTCAGCTGATCTCCAAGATGAGGTAGAGACCGCAGCGAGTGGTAGACACAGGGCTCTCCCCTCCTATGAGCACCACACAACAGACTGGGTGGAATCATGTCTGAACCAGCAAAGGTCCTGGAAGACCCACGCTGCACGCCAGCAGTGTGGCTTTAATGTTTCTTTGCAGTGCACAGTAGTATGTACAATGTGGAAGTCGATGAATGAAAATGGACAGATTGCATACAACACACTAGATCCTGTGGCTGAATGTTTTGCTGGTCTCACCCATGCTTCTGGCAACATAAAAATCGGAATAATCACTGAATGTAAACAGCAGCTTATGATTAAACTATTAAATGTGCTCTGCATTGTTTTCTTGTCTTTACTTGACCTGATGAAATGATGCTAGTTAAACTAAAATCATGCATCAAGGTTCATTTCGGTGAAATTCGAACGTCAACAAAATGCAGTTTAGATCAACAAGTGAAACGTACATGTCGGATTCATTTCAAACACAGCTGTGCATCTGGTCTTCCAGTTTTATATTTAAATTCAAGCAGTTTAATATGTCACTGTAGACTGAAAGTAACAGTTAAATAAAAATATATAACTGGTTTACTTTTTACATTGAGGTCTACAATTTTTACTTTTACCTGCAGATAAAAAACAATTAACACTCTGAATGCCTACATGCACTAATGATATGATGGATATACATGTATGTATATATCAATTTAATTGATTCAGTATTGTAAATATCACCATATTATGTCTTTATTGTATAGATTTTCCTACATTGTTTACGCTGTTTTGGAGCTGGCTTTAATATCATTGTACAAATGTACAGTGACACAATAAATTCAAATTAAAAGCTGAACGCACTCATTGGTGTGTTGCAAAGGTTTCCATACGTTTTCCCAACTGATCGCTGCTTTGCTTTCACTTGTCATGTCATGTCAGTTCATCCCAGTCAGCTCAATGGAGGTAATACTAAGAGACGTTGCTGGTCACTTTTTCTGAAGGAAGCACAAACGTAAGCCATTGGTAATAATCTCAATGTAAAATTAATCTACTGACTAACTAGTTGTATGTTAGGGCTTAACACACCGGATTCAAATGAATGCAGCTCAACAAAAAGCTTGTTAATTATCCATCAATTGAAATCAGGTGTGTTGAAGCAGCAAAAACACCTACAACATGCCAGGCCGGGTACCTGGCATGTTTAGGGTTAAAAAGCCCTAAAAAATAATTTTTGACAAACTAAAAATTTAAATTATTGATTCTAGAATTCAAACCTTCTTTCCATCGTCATTGGTTCATGTTTCAGGGTCCAGAAATTCCTTTTTCTCTTCTTCTGATGTCTTAGCAGGATCTTTCTTGCTGCACATAAAAGTTTTCTCACCGCAGTTGAGATTAAGACTTGCTTACTACAGCCAGTATTAAGTTGTGCTTGAAGCTTTTGTCCCATGAGACGCCTTTTTCATAAGTTCTTGGCTCTTCAGGCATCTTCCTGTCAGAGATTCCTGGAGTTTCTGAGTCCCAGTTGTTAACGAAGGAGACTGTTCTCACTGACACCCTGACTTTCTTCACAGTTTCTGTCGGGAAAGCCTATTTTTAATTGTTATTATTACACGCTTCCTTTTTTAATTATCTTTTCATCACAGCTTATTGCAGCACTGTGCCTTTTGCAGTACAATGCTGCCAAAATAATACTTTTAGAGGGTAAACTACAATTCATTCTTTGATTGACGGAAGCTGTCAATAATCAAGATAACATGGGAACCTTTAGGACCAGCTTTTCAAATTTGGATCAACCTAGGTTGTTGAAACGTTTAAATTTGTTCATTTCTATTCCTTGAAAAGGAAGAATTTTTTTTAATCATTCTGAAAGTTACATTATTTGTTTGTAAATGTGCATTATTTTCTAACCTCCGGTAATTCAATATTTACATCAATGGAATAAAAAATGGAAAATCAAGGAGGTTCTAAAATCTTTGAACAATAGTGAATTTGAAACATAGCAAAGGAAAAAGAAGGTAAAAGCACAATACTGAATCATCGAAGGGTTAACCCTTTTTTTTTTTAAATAAACATAAAAATTTTTATTACCAAAATTCAATTTTAGGAGGGTGGACTGTGAACTTGGCAAACTTCCCAATAAGTGTAGCTGTCATAGCATTACATTTCTGTGTTAAATTTTTAAAAATTTTCTAAATAATTTTTTAGAATGTTGGGTTTTCAAAAACTGAAAACCACATTAACTGAAAGCAAAATGCATTAATCTGTGCATGATAAATCAAAGAATTTACGGCTGAATTCACTGCAATCTATTTCATTATTATTTACCTACATTGAATGGTTATTCATATAAAAAAATGATAATTTTTAGGACAGATTACTGCTTCCCAAACAACAAATGAGAGGAGACAGTCAAACCAGAGAATTAACAAAATTACATTTACTTGTTCAACTAGATTTTTATACATTTAAACAAACAAGGAAATCAAAACATACAAAGACATAACAGGATCAACATTTATGTGTATGGTTTATTAAAATGGAAGATATTAATCTTGAAAAATCAATAAAATAAATGTGGGATGCGAGTATGAGTGTGTCCAAATTATATATAGAGTTGAAGCAATTGTTACAAAGAACATAAGGTAGTCGTTGTTTTTGTTGTTGTTATTTGTTTTATTGCCTCGTGCTTTACACGGACATGCCGGTTAAACTGTAAATAAAAAAATAAAACAATACATCAATATTTAGTAACAACGAACTAATCTCCGACAGCTTACAACATTGATGTAACTCACCACGTTGGGCAACACTCATAAACGTCGATTAAATATCCGTTTGTAGTCAATAATACCGTTAGCTGCGGCTAACGGCGATCTCTGTGCCGTTACTTTTTCTGCCGTAAGTTTCTTCTCTCCCTTAACTGACGCGAAGCCACTACAGCGCCCTCTAACGGAACGGAGAAGGAGTGAATCCAACATCCCGCCCCGATGAACTCTACAGATGTTCATCTCAGAAAATTGGTGAACGACAAGTTAAACTTAACAACTGTATATGACTATGTAATATCCACTTTGCAATAACAACTTTTCTGAAAGGAAGTTTTTTTTTTTTTTTTTTTTTTAAAGACTACTTGTTACAGTAATCATGAACATAAGATAGAGTGAAAATTATCTTTAACATATAGAAAACTCAAACACTCTGAAGGTAAGTAAATCTACTTGTCCATATTCCTTCTAACAAACACAACTTGTGTATTGGACGGGTATAAATGCCTCTCTGAGTCTTCACTTGCACTGATCGCACCAAACCATCAGCTCCGATGTTGACATCAGTAACCAAACCAAGAGGCCACTGATTGCGAGGAGTGCATTCGTGCAGAATCAGCACAAGATCTCCGATT